ATTTATCAATACATTGATTTTATTTTAATATATATTGGTTTTATTTTGGAACCTTAGAACGTATCCCTTACGATTCCATATAAATTACCATTCCATATCCACGGTTTCTGTATTCGCGCCTTATTTATGGAACGTATAGGTACCCCGCGAATAAAGAGCTTTTACTGTATAGGAATATGCTCCCCACACTGACTTGGAATGAGTTATGTATTAAAGAAAAAGCAGATACTTATTGTACTTTTCACGATGTTTTCGACATTAAAATTGAAGTCTCCACAAAATTCATTATATCATTTTTATTAAAAATTACAATGAAACATGTATTTTCGCAAATGATTCTCCACTTTAAGAAAAGTAGGTAAATAAGAAAAAATATCTAACTTACTTTGTGCGAAATTCGGAAGACTCATTGGATATCCTCTCACTGGAAAACCAGCTTTCATGGAACTCTGAAGGTAAAACGCCCTATCCTCTGTAAAAAAAAATAACAAATGATTAGTTAAATTGAATTACAAAAGTATTACGATTTGTGATTTGTAAAAACAGTATACTTTAGCTATAGTTAAATATAATCACTAGTTACGCTCTTTATTGCGGTTCTTAGAATGGGTGGACAGAGTAGCTCACTTTCATGACTGGGATAAAAGAGTGCGCGCAAAAAAATATAAAATAGCGATAAAACTACTGTAATATCTGTATTATATGCACCTAAAGATATGGAGTAGAGGGTAGACAAATTTAGATTTTTTCTTATGATATTTAAGTTAAATTATCACAAAGGTAAAATAAAATTAAATTGGAAATCAGTGGTATTATTGTTTAATAAAATTCAAACTGTATAGTAATTCCAAAATTACAAAAAAGAAATTTTACTATATTGATACACATTTTAATAGTTTTTTCCTAGGGATAATAGAGGGAGGGGAAAAGTATTCCCAAAGCCACATAGCTTTTTATTACGCAGAGTATGGGTAACTCACTGCCATTTAATTTTGGGAAGATAAACCTGTCAATTGAATAGCGCTAATTGTATACAAAAATTACTTTGAATCTCTCTCACTTCACTCATATCTCGTATCTCTTTCGAAAAACTCAGTAAAACATTATGGTTTAAAGCTGGTTCCAAACTCATGATGTAACTTTAGTGACCTATGAATACATCTTTACACTCATAATTTTCACGCCTATTTACGAAATCTATCATACTAGTCTGATTTTTCTCACTAATCGTAAGCATGGACGTCGCCAAAGGGAGGGAGTGGATCAGCTACAATTTAACGTAATAATTAAACAGTTGTGGCAAGATAAACCTAATGTAACTGAGCACTGAGACCAAATATTTGTTTTATTATTAATTCGGAAGTTAATAAGAAACTGAGGAAATGGGTTAGCAAGATACCTTCTCAGGCATGTAAGGCTAGATAGAGACATATTAGAAGCAGGAACATGAGTTAAGCTGGAGAGAGGTATACCTACATATATTAGATTACTGTTCACAAATAATAATAGTTTTAGGAAAATGCGATGATTAGATCAGGATGTGGAGGTATACTTATTCAAACAATGTATAAATTTTTTGGTTGTTAGGTTGGGTTAGGTATATCTTACCTTCCTGATCAATTTTATTCTAATTCCTGTATTTAGCCTATTTATTACTAGAAGGCATCTTAATTGGTCGTTGGTACATTTAAAAAAAGTATTACTGAAGTCTTTGTCAAAACCTATACAAAAGTGAAATGGATGGAACTTACGGCTGTTTTGAGTAGATTCTGCATCGACAGGCCTTGTTTCATTTGGTTTTACCACAACAAGTGAACTAACGGGAGTCACAAACGAATGTTGTAGAGCAATAGCGAGAGCTTTTTTCTTTAATTCATCAGGATTTTTTGAAATTTCCTTTTCCTCCAATAACTGTTTTACTGTAAGATAAGCCCAAATGCGCTGCAGACCAGTTACTGGCCTTTCGTAGATCGGTTTTAAATTTATTAATCCGGTTCCGCAAAACGCAACCACATCTAAGGCTATAACATCATCTTTTCCATTTTCTGGCGATTCAGATGGCGGCTGTTCTGAAAATATACAATAATAGTAATTCTCTCTTACATATTAAAGTTGAGAATGCTATAGTTACCGTAACGTCCTGCTACCACTATCTCTGACCCGTTGAAAAGTACCGGAAATATTGTCTTTGTCACCCCAGTTACAGTTGGCACATATTTAAAGGTGACATTAGCTAAAAGCGGAGAGGAAATTTGTTTATAAAATCCTTGTAGTTGCAAAGATGCATCTGCGCCTTCATAAATATGTTTTGAAAAGCCTGAGTTATGAAGAGCCAGCTTTTGAAGAAATTTCTTATCAGCTGCTTCTCCAAAAGAAAGAGAGAAAAGGACAGACTTTCTTCTACCTTGATTGAATTCAGAAATCTAAAACAATCGTATTTGCATTAGAAAACAATTTCAAGAATATTATAAATCCTGGGACTAATCGATGGGCATATTTACCTCGGCAACTATTTGATCAGTGCTATAAACTCCTACAGTAGGTTCTCCGTCCGTTAAAAATATGATCAAAGGCTGCAACTTATCGGAACCCTTATTACTCTTCCGCTCAGCTTCAATTAAATGCAATGCAACTTTAAGTGCATCGTTGATATTAGTTCCTCCATTCGGTTCAAAACCTGACACTGTATTTTTTGCCTTTTCTATGTTTTCTTTATTAACTGAATAAGCTGGAGGAAATCGAATATCCTGTAACAGAAAATAAAAATGCCTATACGTATTTATTTTTCTTTATAGGTGAAGTAAAAAGAATCACCAAAATAAAATTCTTGGTTAGAAATTTCAAACAATATAAAGATATTTTATTATGAATGAAACGCGTATTCAGATTGTTGAAACGAAATATATTAGTGCATTATTTACTTTAGATTAATAACTTAATATGGGATAATTAAGAGTTTTATAAAATTAAGGTATTGTTGTAAATCGCACCACTGAAGCATAATAGATAAATAATTAATTATCATCAAAAAGCAATTTAACAAAACAGTTATGAAGAACTGCATGTTCATTTCTTATGAATGAAACTATTATCAAATTTCCACATAATGTACTTGAGGGAAGATAACTTTTAATAAAATTTTGAGTGTTATTATTCACTAACAATTTTCCCGAAAAGAAATCATTTACTGCCATAAAAGTCGCAACGTTCTTATTAAAAAGATTATTTCTTGAGCGAAACCGTCCACGTCAGTATTACAAAAAAAACCCTACATTTTACGAAAAATGTATCTACCTCTAAGCTAACATTTGTCCCCTCATAGGCCCATGATGCTCCTCCTGGAGGATACAGCGTACTTTCTGTACCATTCTGTAAATTCCATACCTTTACATCGGTATTAAATTCAACTAAATTAAATTTATCAGAACTTTTAAGCTCTTCCAATATGCTTTTCATGGCTTCTTTCAATTGGGCAATTTTTCTGTCAAACATGCTGCCACTAGTATCCAAAACAAAGACCACATGTTTTGGCAATGGATCTAAATCACTGGGAGCAAAAAAGTGAACAAAATAACCATCGTCCAGTAAAACCTAAAAGCAGATATATTTATATACTGTTAACTATACCGTATTACTCACATACTTCTCCTCCTAAGGGATCTCTTTCAACATCATATTGAACTATAAATTGACCAGCAAGGCCATCATTCGCTTCAGTTCCTAAATGCTTAGCAAGTTCCTTTTGTCTTTGAATAGAAGGATTGAAAGTTACTACTGCGGAAGTTGAATTTATTAATTCCACATTTGCTCTAGGATCTAATTCTTCTTTATCAGAACCAATTTCATTACCAGTACGGAGAGGTGGCGCTCTAACATATTTTATAGGACGACTCTCTGCTAGTTTAACCTTTCAAAAATGATTCGTTTTTTAAAGGCGTATTTAAACTATTTTCATTTAATAAATTACTTTTTATACAGTAAAAGCTCTCTATTCGCGGGGTATACGTTCCATAAATATGCCGCGAATACAGAAACCGTGGATATGGAATGGTAATTAGTATGGAATCATAGGGGATACGTTCTAAGGTTCCAAAATAAAACCAATATGCATCAGAATAAAACCCATTTATTCAGTAATTCGCAATTAAAATTAATCGTTGTAATCAGCTTTAGACAAGGGTTTAAAAAATTTAATGATTTTTTCTTGTTTTGAATTTTGAATTAGTCGCCTTGGCACAAGTCAACAGTACTTAAAAGATGCCGATACGTTGAAAAATAATACCGAATCCTTTTCTGTTTACTCGGTTACATCTTTTATAAAAGCTGCCCGTACATACTCAAGAGATGCCGATACATTAAGGGGATTCGATAGTAAATGCTTACTGCTTCTAGATACCATGAGTTTAATGTTTGGAACAAAAGTTTGAAAATTTGTAGTAAGATAGATAAGGCTTTGTTCTAAAGCTTGTCGAAGGTCATTTTTTAATTTTTTAATTTCTATTGAAAATATGTGTCCTACAAGAAGCATCAACTTTAAGCACTTATAAAAGCTTTTAATGACCATATTATTGAAAANAGGGGATACGTTCTAAGGTTCCAAAATAAAACCAATATGCATCAGAATAAAACCCATTTATTCAGTAATTCGCAATTAAAATTAATCGTTGTAATCAGCTTTAGACAAGGGTTTAAAAAATTTAATGATTTTTTCTTGTTTTGAATTTTGAATTAGTCGCCTTGGCACAAGTCAACAGTACTTAAAAGATGCCGATACGTTGAAAAATAATACCGAATCCTTTTCTGTTTACTCGGTTACATCTTTTATAAAAGCTGCCCGTACATACTCAAGAGATGCCGATACATTAAGGGGATTCGATAGTAAATGCTTACTGCTTCTAGATACCATGAGTTTAATGTTTGGAACAAAAGTTTGAAAATTTGTAGTAAGATAGATAAAGCTTTGTTCTAAAGCTTGTCGAAGGCCATTTTTTAATTTTTTAATTTCTATTGAAAATATGTGTCCTACAAGAAGCACAACTTTAAGCACTTATAAAAGCTTTTAATGATCATATTATTGAAAACCAAAAACGTATCGAGTTGGTGTGAACCTTTATCTGTTACCATACAAAAAATTATACATTTATCTCACAGCATTAAATCACAATGTATAGAATAGAAATCTATATTTTCGGAAAAATTCACACTAGGTACGAACGGTCTACTGCGGTCAATCCCCTTAATAAATGACACCAAATCCTTTTCTGTTTACCGATTGCATCCGCGAATAATGAAATTTTTAACCTCGAATACAAGAACTGGGTTGCAATTTTTTCACCCGCGAATAATGAAAACGGGAATAAGGAAACCGTGAATAAGGAACTTTTACTGTATTAATAAACAATATCTTACGAAAAAAAAAATTAAATCAGCTAAGGAATTAAAATAATTACCTCCACTCCCAGTTGTTTAACGGGTTGTCCTGGTCGTATATTAATAACAAGCTCATAGTATCCATTTTGTCTATTTAGTAGTTCTTCGTATGTTAAATAAAAAGCTGCCTTAGATTCTGGTTCCACGTTAACAGACACTGTGAAGACATTTGAGTCTCTTGTATCGACAGCTACATGAGCGGCGCCTATCCCACTTGCAACAGCCTTAAAATTTAAAACTCGTCATTATTTTAATGTATTTAATAAATAATAATTAACAATAATTCCTAATTTTATAAATCTTTGCACGTTAAAAGTGTTTATTATTAAACGGTTATTTGTTTGTTCGTCTTCTTCTAGCGATCTATTCATTTTAACTATTTCTTAACCGATTTTCTTGAAACTCCGCATACTTAAGTCAGTCCCAGAGCAATTTAAAACAATGATAATTTTAATCTTGCATCCTGAAATCTAATTGTTGCAGGATAAGCGTATCATAATGTACGTACGTTAAACACTTCTTAAATCAAAACCGATTTTTAATTAAGTATTTAAGTTAAACAGTATTTACACTAAACTACAAACAGCAATGCCGAGTACAAATACAAAGTAGGTATTTAATTAAAATTAAAAAATTCTTTTTAAAATTTTATAATTTCATTGAGTAGATTAATGGTGGCGCCCAAAATAAAATAAGGACAAAGTCAAAACAATATATGATTTCTGTTGGAAGAATCTTCTCAACCAAATGCGCTACATGATTTTATTTAGTCCATTCATTCTGATTGGTATCCCAAAAGTATTTTCTGGTCTCTACAACACGGGCTATGGACTCCCGGTACTGGCGACATTAGACCGCTCAAATTAAGAGTCCATAGCCAGCAAGAAGATCGAATTGAAAGGTCGTATGACGGCTTGAGGTAGAGGGGTTTAAGTTGGTTATCGCTCCTTGGAGTAAATCCAATACTACCCAGTCTTACGGACGATTGGATGTATTTTGTTCTCTTCCACGAAAACAAAAGAAATGCCTAACTCATCGTCAGTCCGACTAGTTGGAAACGCATCTCTACTTGTTCCTGTCTTGAGTCGATTTGCACGTATCTTGAGAAATAGAGCAAACTGCATCTCCAACTATTTGCGAACAGTAATCTTTAAATAATCAACCTATTTCGCCTATTTTTTATTGACTCTTTGTTCTCCTACTCTTTCTAAAACCCCCTTATTTCTAACCTTTCCTATTAACGATACTTTTAACATCCTTCTATATCTATAGCATACGCCTTTTAAAACAATTTTCGAATTTTAAAGGAAACTAATCTCAAGCACAAAAGTGATTTCTTTTCTATTAAAAGCGACCCGATCCTGCGCTATTTCTTGTTTTATATCTCTAGCGATTTTTCCATCATGAGTTATCTAATTTCTTCTACTTTTTCATCTATTTTTATATCAATTATAACACAATTTCACGTCCCTTGAATACTAACATTTTTGTTCTATTTTTATTAATTTTCATACTACAGTCCTCTGCCAATATCACTTCCATTTTATTTGAAACTAACTCTAACTCTTTTTGCTAGATATTAATACTGCTACATCTTCCACAAATCAAAATAATTAAAACAATAATTTATAAAACGGCGTGTAATCAAAAGCGACTCCTCATGTAACTTAATGTAGTTACCAACCTTCTAACCAACTAACTGCTTAGTAAATAGTAATTTTTAATCCCTTATTTTCTTTTTCCACAAATTTATTCGAAAAGGGACCGCGGGATGTTTGAAATTTTTAAAAATGGTGCGTTTCCAAAAACGGTTAAAAAACTTCTTTAGCTATCATCTATTGTTCGAAAAATCTTTTCTCTCAGTTAACCAGAGAATAAGACAATTGCTTAAATTTTATACATCTAATTTTTGTTGTTCCTGCTGGACGTTTAGTTAGCCTGTCAGCCTCAAACACGATTCTTGATTTTCTTTTTTTAATAATAAATAGTTTTTCAATTTTACCTGTTTACTACAGAATTAGAACATTTGTAACCATACTTACTTCATCATATATTTTCTTTGCCTCTTCTTTCTCTTTTACATACGCAGTATAATTTTTACCATCTATTTCCATTACAAATCCCGATATGTAAGCTGAGTCAGGTAACACAACAGAAAAGGTCGCCTCTTTAGATGAATTCGAAAAATTTTTAACTTTACTTCTAATAATTGTATGCGCAAAACGATTGCTAACATTTGAAATTATATGCATCTCGGTTATCCTTGGGGTGCTATGGAGATCGGTACTGTCATATGTCTGAAACCTTGCAAAATTGATTTTCATGTCCCTCCTGTTTTTGTTTTTTAACAAACCTCCTTTGTATGTATATCTATTGGTGAATTTTCGCCAGTATCTACCACTAATGACTCGGTAGTAGATGGAAAGCTGAGCACGCCATCCCATGTGCAGAACCAGATACATACAATTAATAGACACGACTTCAAACGATTCATGACTATAACAATAAATAAAAACCACATAAAATAATAAATCGCAATTTTACGACAAAATGCATTTTATTATGTAATATAAAAGGCAACCTTGTGTAAGAATCTATTAACATCAATTAGGTAATGAACACATCCTATCAACCAATACGAATGGTAAGTACTACAATATAATAATATAATTAATTGATTATTTTCTTGTCGAGGTTATTTTGTTGTATTGTTACTTTTATCACATTAAATTATCTTTGACAACGTCTTAATGCATCCCCTTGCCAGCAACATACTCTCTGCACACAATTAATTATAGCAAAAATAACTTACGTAAATAATATTTCTGATTTCTTTCTGAATAAGAACATCAATTTTAAGTAATGCATTAAACTTGCTGGTTATTGCATATAAGAATCAAACTCATAAAAAAGGTTCTACATTAATGTAATAAAAAGAATAATATAGGTACTTATGAAATAGACGCTTTATATATACAAATATACATTCTTAATTGGAATCTGGTCCTGTCATTAACGACACAAGTATCTATTTGGTTTCGAAAATCATTAAAATTTACTTAGATTGGATTATAGCCTATTACACAAGCATAAACATAGCTTAACTTAGTTTAATTTGAATGTGAATGAGAAGTAAAGTAGAATTATCTACAAAATCACATTATCAAGATAGATAAGCACATTCAAAAGTACTTTCGTATGATGCGCGCAAGGGATATCAGCCATAAAAAGGAGTAGCTTTCCTATAAATTGGTGTTAAGTTTCCTTATCATAAATATTTCCAATAAATATATCACTTGATTGATTTAAATTTGGAGTAATCGCTAGATCAGCATCATCACTATCATTTGGGTAAGATGTTTCAATTAAAAAAACAATAAAATTATTTTATCTGAGTAATTAATCTGCACAATAAATGTTACTTAATAAAAATCGTAATTATTGAGAATATTCGAAAAAAGTTATCAATCAAATATTATATATACACCTTTATTTACACATTTATAAAATTCCTAATAAGTCTATAAATGTTTTGTTCTCCCAACATTGATCGTAAGCCTAATGCACTTTGTCGTTGGGCTTAAAAACTAATGGAATTTCCAATTAAACGTTAGCACACTACGGAATTCTGCGGCACCGAGTCGCATTGTAGTTGGAAAAGGTGACTAACTGAATTGGAACTGTTTTTATCTCGCAGAGATGTGTTTCAGTATGTGTCTAGATCGGATCTAGGAAAAAAAGCCTCGGAAAAGAAGCCCCCGGAAAAAATACCCCTTTGGAAAAAAAATCATCAAAAATTTATTCTAAACGTTACCGTATGATTTAAAAAATCAACACTTCAAGTTATTGTCTTTCTTGGCGATGATAACGTTGAATATGATTGTATGATGTCATTGTATGAGTTCTAGTGAATTACCTATTTGATTTGTTTTATTTTTGCTAATATGTGTAACGATATTCTGTTGGGGGTTGACCTCCCAAAAAGTATTTATTAATTACCTACAAGAATATCAGTAGTTCACAAACAAAAGTGCATTTTCTACTACGATAAAATTGCAATTTAAAACAAAAGATAATAACATTATAGCCAATTATCTACTCGATCTATTATTATTTCTATTAAATTGTATTACGACATTCGGTACGTTTATTTCATTGTTGAGGACAGGGCGATTTTTTCCGATTACCGTATAGATCAGGATTTCCCAAACTGTGTATCGCGACGCCTTGAGACGTCAGGGCATTATCCTAGGGGCGTCGTGAAGCGATCCACATAGATTGACAATCGTTTGCGACATTGTACTTATTCGAAACAGGGTTTTTTGCAGGTGATGTAATAAAGGGCAAGTACAGATCGAAAATAAACGTTTTGAGAAGCTATGCTCAGAAAAGCAAGTACATCCTTCTCATTAATAGCCAGCCAACAAAGTAAAATAAATGCCTGTTCTCATTTTTATTCTTATGTTTTATTTTTGTTCTTTTTTTTTATAAAA